TTGGCAAATGAATAGGTTGGAGAACCCCAAAACCCCAAAACCCCATAGAAACAACATCATGCTTAAAAAAATTAAATGTTATTTTGCAAATTAAATCTCATGAATTTTTAAAATTTACAGATAAAGACATAGTATCTCATATTTAGGTATCTGGAGAAAACTATGTCATTACTCATGTTTAACTTATTTATAAAATATCATTTGATATGCTTAGAAGAATGATTGATATCTATTTCAACTCAGTGAGTTATAATATGTTTCATTCATTATCAATTCGCTTCATTTTTGGCTTTTAATACCCTAGCTTTAAACTTTTGACATTTTTCGTTATTGCTGCTTCTGCTAGAACTCTTACTACTGTATTTACTATTTTTAAGCCATTGATCTAATAAATCTCCACTGTCCAAGTTCTGCTAGCTTCGGAGCAAAGAACACCTCCTAATTGTTTATGTTCTCTAGTAATATCTTTTGCTTCTTGTTAAAGTTTTTAACGACATTAAGCAACTTATTTACGCTTTGAAAGTCGTCATCTGCTTACTAGTATATTGTTTACTTCAAGAGTTAATTAACTCTTTAGGAATCCATTGGAACAGCGGAGACTAGAACACCATTGGTTGTATTTACACTTGAACGTTTATTCTGTAATTTAGTCAGAGAATTATTTTTTGAAACTATTGATTTTTAGAAGGAAGAATTTTCAAAATCAGCCAATATATTGTCACTACCTATTTAATTATCACTTTGGAAATTGTTAACCAAATTAAGCGGATTTTCAAGTATTGAATTTGTTGCTCCAGTGCTTTTCTTGCCTCCAACATGATCAATAATGAGTCCTTTAGCCCTTAAATTTAGCATTTATTTTAGCTATAGTTACTATACTCTGATTATATCTGATTCAGCATTTTCTTTTATCTTTTTTTATTCTTTATTGACTTTCTTCTATCTCCATTTATCTCCTGGGCTGTTTGTACTTCTTTGCTCCGTCATAATACCAGAAATCGTAAGTCTGTCAACTGATCTTGATTTTACAAGATCATTTTCAAGGTTTAAGCTTTTTTCAGTACTTTTTAAACAGAAGAATTTAGAGAAAAAACTAGAAGCACTCTTACTCTTATTTAGAATGTTTTCTGTGACTTGCGTTCTTTATTCAATTATTGATTGCTACATTAAAATGTTTAAACTTTTTCTAATGAGTTATGTTCTTCTTTTTTTAAGTAATATCTTTGGATCTTTTTCAGGTGTGTCCTGATCCAATTCGTCATCTTTGAAATCATTTGAAAGATATTTTCTAAGAATAGTATCTTGCTTGATTAAAGATGCTGATCTTTGGAGATAACTTAGTACATTCAAATATACCTCTTACCTAATATCTCCAATTTTAATTAGCAGATCCACCTCAAAGCTATCATAGAATTCGAATGACGGGCATTTTAATTTTACTCCTGGTCATTCTTATTATTTACACTTTTTAAGTAATTTAAGAAAAGATTCAAATCTATCTAATGCATCTGCTTTTTTATCAATAATCATTTAATAACTTGGATCTGATCCAACTCCAGCAGTCTTAAAACCAAGTAGTTTTCCAAATTTTTTCATTTTAATGGCTTATGCTATATCACTTTTAGTGTAAGATGACTTTTAATTACTCAATGAACTTTTATTGTCAAGATCGCTTAAAGGTCTGCTTAGTAAGCTGGTTTGTTTATTTTTGCAAGATAAATCCATATATTGATCTTAGTTGAGGATTTAGGTTTTTCTAAACTTGCTAAATTGATAATTTTATTTTTATTATGCATCATCATCTCTGACAATAGTATGAATCTTCCTAAATGAGCTGTTATCCTAATATAATGAATTTTAAGTATTGTTATACTCCTGAATGGGAATGGTATTTTAGCTAATTTAGTTTTCAACTATAGTTTTTGATTTAGAAAATGTTGAAGTTCGCCTTTACCTTGACTCATCAGTACCAAAATTTATTGTTAAAAATTGATTTAATTCTACTGTTTGCTTATTAGATAAACTATCAGATGTACCATTCGTAAATTTTTTTAGATTTATTTTAATTTCTTTGTTGCCAAATGTATCAATGTAAGATTCCTTGATAGTCTCATCCTAATCTTAGTCAGAAACTTTTAGCTCTTCCTAGATATTCACTTGCCTTGAAACATTATTTTGCTAAGGAATCATGATTGGTGATATGTGAAACTTTTAATCTCCAACTTTTTCATTATAATTTGTAATTTTTTGGCCTGATTCGATATCTATATCCATTTCATCTATATTTTCTAAATCATCTTCATCATCCTCTTGAAACTTAAACATTCTAGCCCATGAAAAATGAGGATCATCTAAGATAATTTCATCATCATTTCTGAGTTTTCTTATTTAAACTTTTATTATAGCATTCTATAAATTTAAAAGAAATAGTATACTTACAACAATGTAATCTTTGACTCTTTGCCCTTTTAGAAATGCCTCATAAGAAATTTTCATCTTTACTTTCATTATACGAAAATATTCTATCAGTTGAATTTTATCTTAAAATTAACTTACTCATCTCTAATGGTCTGATAATAACAGAACTTTTTCTTTTTTCTTTTGATCTCTTTTAGCCCTTCTCAATTTTTTTTCTTATTTAACTCGAGTAAAATTTGGTCTTATTTGCAATTACCTTGCTTTGTATGAAGTTTAAAAATGAAAACAAATCATCTTCCTCCAAAATTACAAAATCAATGGTTCTGAATTCAGTAAATAGGGACACACATTGCCAACATTAAAATGGCTCACGAAAATATATATTTCTGCGTCCTTAAATACTTGATCTTTTCATACTTCCTTTTTACTCAATGAATGTACCAGTTTTATCTAAACTAGATGGACTTGAAGTCAAAGTCCTCTATTTATTTTTCTATTAAACTGATTTGAAAATATCTTCTCGATACTAAGTAAAAGTACAAGTAAATGCCCCATAAATGAAGCCAGTTATAGTACTTAAATCTAGAATAGATTTTTTAGTCTTGATAACTCCTTTAATATTCTTTTTTTACCATTATAAGTAATTTTCGTCCTCGCTTAATGACACCTAGCTCAGCTTGTGACTTCTTTTCGAGTAGTGGTACTTTATCGCCTCAATTCCATTTTTAAGTGTTTCAATGCATTCACTAATATCGTCATACTTAAATTTATCCCTAATTCTATAATCAAATTTCTGTCTTGAATTAGAGCTATAAGGTAATCTAAGATTCATCAGTGACACATTATTTGAGTAATTTGAGTCTCTCATAATAGGATTACTAGAGAATCCATCTTAATCTATTACATATTTAAATGATTTTTATCTGTCATCTATGATCTCGACTCTAAGGTGATGAGAATCGTCATTACTCTATCCTGCATCGTTTTTAACCAGAAACTTTGATATAATATCTTTATCTTTGAATCGATTTAATTTCTGATTGGATTCTTACTACAAAACATATTCGTTCATTTCACTAAATGTATAGGCTTTTAGGTCTAGGTTATCTAGTGGAGCATTTCGAAATTTCGTATTTTTATCATCTTAACTTAGATCACAAGATGAGAAGGAATTAACCATCGAATCATCAGCTCTTTTTTCTGAGATTCTTTACCCCTACCTATAAATGAATATAGTTAATTACCGATGATGATTATGATACTTACCTTCTTGAGGATATTTAGCTAGAAGATTTTGAGGATTTTATTTCTGAGTTTTTATCAAAATTTTGATCTCTTGACATACTAGAATTGTTCGAGTTTTAAGTGTCATCTCTGTCTTGTTGTGGCTTTAATAATGTGTGTTTTTTAGTCCTACAAAAAGATATGGGACCGGTCATTGGAAGTTGTTGTATCAAATTACCACTAATAGGACTATAGCTAGGACCTAAGGGCTTTACTATCGAGTTGCTTACGGCAGCTGCATCTTTAATAGTAAATGGCTTGCTTATTTCATTAATGATAGAGGGGTTTTTGTATGTTCAATCTCGAGTTAACTCAAAATAATAAGATATAGATGACTAAGGCAGTTCGAACTTAGATTTGCACTCATCTAATTAATCATTTTTATTCCTACCCTACACTTTAAAACTCCCTTTTGATGGCTAAGTTTTTAATTCATCGATTTTTGTTCTACTAATTACACTAATTATAGGGTAGACCTATTTCTTAGGTATTCTTGTAGTTTTGTTTCTAATAGAGCTAGTTTAAATTTTATTGGGGTTTTAAATAAATAATTCTTTAACAGATGCTTCTCCTGATTTATTGTCGAGTGTTGGTTCAATTTTAACATTTTAATTAGATTGAAAGTATGTTTTTATTTTAGATTGAGGTACATTCCTAAAAGGCAAATAAGATTACTCGTTTTAAATATTCATACTTTTTGAGTTTGGTGTATTTGATCTAAGCATAGGGATCTTCATTTCCAAACATTTTCATTGAATAAGTATATATAATTCTCACAATTTAATTTAATAGCTATTCATCTATGCCTATTATCTCAATCAGTTTATTTTCCAAAATTAATGCTATCGGGGTTTTGGGGTTTTGGGGTTTTGGGG